AAGCCTTTTTTTTTATGGTTGTTGGTTTGTTTGTTTTTGTATATGTGGAAGGATTAGGCCCTCTTGTCAGCTCTTTATTGCAGCATGTGTCACGGTTGGGTGGTCCGCTCTCTGTATTTGCCTTGAGGACCATTGTCACTGTGACAAAAGGTATTGGGTAATCCTAAAATGTTGCAGTTGTCACCAGAACAGGAGTAGGAGAGAAATGTTCCAGCTTGCTGCCCCTATTCTGGTAACAGCTGTCTGTGTCCTCACTTCCTCTTGATTCCAGAGCGGGCGTTCTAACCATTTATTACTTGAAATCTAGACGTTTTGGGTGTACACACACTTTAAGATCCTCTGTTTTAGGAAACCTTGATGCTGGGAAAAATTCCAAACTACCCTTGCAGTGGGGGGCTCCTTTTTGTCAATGGCAGCCTTAAGGCCTCATTCACACAGCGTAGAATCGGGCCGTACAGATCCTTACGGCCGCATCAGGGCGGTTCGGGGAGGGACAGCCTGTTCTTCCCTAATGGGAGCACGTGGCCGTACGCTGTCATAGATACCCCCGAACTGCACATCTGTGCGGTCTTCCGTGCTCGGACGCAGACGGGATCCATCCAGCTCCGAGTATGGACACCCGTACAGATGTGCAGTTCGGGTGAGCGTACGGCCGCGTCCTTCCATAGAGAACAGGCTGCTGCGTGCAATCGCACGCAGCACCTGTCCCTCCCGGGAACGGCCTGATGTGACCGCGCACGCCTCACGGATCTGTACAGCCCAACTCTTCGCGGTGTGAATGAGGCCTTAAATGCGGCTTTGCCAACCTTCTCCTTCGCCTCTCCATGTGACCGGCCCCTCAATCTTCAGCGATCTGGCTGGTGGTTGCAGTTGTAATGTCATCATGTACTATGAGGGACCATGAGTCCTCCATTGTAAGTTGGGGAGCCAAGGGCCACAACCCAGAGCATTGGAAGGAATGGGCGAGCACCAGGGGGGAGCGAGGGGTAAGCGAAGTAAAACTGCTTTTATAACGGTGCTCTAGACAACAACAAGCATACAACTCCCCACTCTGGAAGGGTAGTTTGGCATTGCCCCGGAGTTCATATGCACAGGGGTGGGCAACCTCGGCACTCTAGTTATTGTGGAACTACAAGTCCCATGAGGCACTGCAGTACAGCCACAAGCATGAGGGGATTTGTAGTATCACCGCAGCTGGCGTGCCCACCCTGTCTCAGTGTATCTACATGGAGTCTGTTGATTTCTTTTTTATACAAG